TTAATATCTACTATTATCTTACAGTGACTGATTCAGACATTTACAAGAAATTGGTAGAAATGGAAACTTTAGCGGATTCAAGGCTTAAATCTATAACTTTATTGGAAACACAAAAATTCGAGCTAGTTCAAGGTAAAATTGCTGTTATGAATTTATCGCATGTAAGTTATAATGTGTTTGTTAAAATTATCAATTTTTTCAACTCTTTATGATGATTTTCAGAACTACATGTATTGCAACAAAAGAACGATGAAATGGAAGATAAATTAGCGGATATGTCCCAACTGCAAAATGATCATGTTTGCTCTGAAATAAAATCAGTACAAATGGAAGAACAAATTGATGAATTCATAGCATCTAAAAAGGAATTAGAAATTGTGATAGAAAACCTAAAGTTAGATAAAGAACAATCAACAAACACAATAAAAACGTTGGAGGAAGAGAAGGAAAGTTTAATACAAAAATTAGAAAGTTATATGCAAGAAAATATGGAATTAACGGATAAATTTGAGAAATTGAGCGCTGAAAAAGTAAGTTCTGCAGAGTCTATTGAAATGGTAGAATCGTTAACTACGCAAGAGAAGTTAGAACTTGAAGAGTATAACAGAACAATGGCAGCTAAACAAGATGATAATCACGAGTTTAAAATAAATGCGCCAGGTGAAACTGATGAAAACATTGCGGAACTAATGAAACAAAGTGCAGAATTAAGAGATAAAGTTGAATTGTTCACTCTGGAAAAACAAGAAGTTATGGAGAAAATGAACAACGTTTGTGCTGAAAACGAAGACTTGCAAGAAAGAATTAAAGAACTAAAATCACAGTGTGACAGTTTGACTAAGGACATCGATGTTCTAAGTGAAGAAAAAAATACTCTTCAACTGTTAAATGAAGAATTAAGTAATCAAATCGAAGTTCTTAAACACGAAAGAATCGAAATTATGAAAGAAAGTATAGAAATTGCAAAACCAGCTATCATGGAAGAAGCCACAGAAGGAGTTAGCACGGAAACCTCACATGATGACAAATCGGTTAGTGATAAAAGTAATAGCAGATCAAAATCTGTCAAGCAATTAACAAAAGATATTCTCAAACTTAAGGGGACTATTAAAGAGCGAGAAGCTGAAATTGCTGATTGTAAGATGAAAATATTATCTTTAGAGGAACAGCAAGAAAAACAAAAAGAACTGATGCAAAATAATACAGTACTTGACAACAAAGTAAAACATTTGACAGAGGAGAACTCTCAGTTGAAACGAGATATAGAAATAACACAAAAAGATGCCGAATCTGAACTACAGTACAAGCAGGCGCATGATGTTTTACAGCAAGAAATACAAAAGATCCATCAAGAATATTCTATGGCTATCAATGCACGTGACACCAGAATAAACGAAATGGAGAATCTGCTAGTAGAGTATGAGAAGCAAATGTTTAATTACGGGAACTCCTTACAGCAAAAGGATAAAGAAACTGCCGAATATATTAATCAAATAACAAAATTGAATGACGTTTCACAAAAATTAAAATCGACCATTGATTTACTCGAAGAAGAGAAAGCAAAAGATCAAAATGCTGAATTAGTTAAATCGCTGAATAAAGATATAATGATTTATGAAAAGAAACTCACAGAATGTGAGGAAAAACTAAGGGTATTAGAAGAAGAAAAATCCCAATTATTGTCTGTTAAAAGTGGCTTGGAAGTGAAGGCTAACGACTTAGAGTTAGAATTAAAGAACTTACAAGAGGCTTTTACAGAAAAACAAACAACAATTAAGGATTTGCAGGCGCAACAACAAAAACACGATGGAGAGCTTTCGTCTGTCATGCTGCAAGCAAAGGAACGTGACGAGGAAATACATGAAATAAAACTTCAGCTTAGAAAAGAATCTATAGAGAACGAAAAACTAAGAAACGAAGTGTCTAAAAGAGTCAATGAAAGTGAGGAATTTAAAAAGCAATGTAATGAACTAAAACAAAAAATAAATGTTGTTTCCCACGACAAAGAAAATTACAATGAGCGCCAGACAATTTTAGAAAACAAAAACAAAGAATTGATGGAAAAACTTAAGAAGTTGGCCATTACCTTAAAAAGAAAAACATCTTCATATAATGACTTAGAACTTGATTATAACGATAAGCGAAAAAAATTGGAAGATAAAAATTTACAAGTCCAAGAATTACTTTCAAAGGTTGAAGTTATATCACAATTACAAGACCAAATAAAGGACATGGAAAAAGAATATGATAATCTACAAAACGAAAAAGTATTGTTTCAACAAAGATCTAGAAATGCTGAACAGTTACAAGTAGAAATTGAGACATTAAATAAAAATCGTGCAAATGCCATTGAAGAAATATCAAAATTGCATACGTCACTAGACACATCAAACAAAGAATTGATGAATGCTCAGGAAGATAACAACAACTTGAAAAATCAAATTTCAGCTTTAAACAATAAATTAGTCGAATATGAAATTGAACAGAAAAATAACAGTAATCTTAGTACAAAAATTGCTTCTCTTGAAATGGATCTAAGCCAGAAACAGACCCTTATAAGCGAACTATCTATACAGTTAGAATCACACAAAGAACATCTTACCCAAATTCAATTTGGTCACGACGCTAAACTACAAGAGTGCAATTTGTACATTGAAAGTTTGCAAACAGATATAGAGAAATATAAAAATCGCATTTGCCGCTTAGAAGAAAGCATTTCGACGATGGAAAGCAGAAGACATTCTTTAGAACGTAAAGCCGACCAATTGGATAACCAGTTACAAGAAAAACAAAAGTCTTATACTGAATATACACACCAGGAAGATGAGTTAGTTAATCGATTGGCGGTTCTCATTGACCACGACAGAGTCGTTGAAAAACAGTTGCATGTTATAGAACATGAAAATAGAGAATTGCAGCATAAAGTTCAGCATCTAAACGAAGAATTGCTACGTCTCAAGAATGCCCATTTAGATTTGCAGAATAACTATACATACATGCAAACCAAAGCCGCAAAAGGGGAGGCAGCAGAGTCTGACCTTGTGATATGTCAAAGTAAAGTTTACGAACTTGAGGCAAATCTTAAACATATTACAAATGAATACCAAACAATATTAGCGCGAAAGAAGGTGGATATCGAAGAATTAGAATCAGAATTTAATACACAAATTGAAAACGCTATTAAAGAAAAGAAGATATTAAGTGAAAATCATGAAAGACTTTGTGAGCATGTTACTCAGCTCGAAAGAAAATTACAGGAATACAAAGACACTAATGTTAACCTAAATCTTAATTTACAAGAAATGTCGGTCGTAAATCAAAACTTGTTAGAAAAAAGTAACGAAAAAAAATCACCTTCTGTCGACTATACGGAGCAGTATGTTAATGAAATAAATAAATTAAATGCTGTTGTTAATAATAAGAATCAACAAATTGTAGATCTCGAGAACAATATTAAGACAGTGCATGTAAACAACGTGGCAAAAGTTTCAGAATTAGAAAGTAGAATAGCAGAATTATCATCAAATTTAGCCAGGTCAGAAAAGGAACTTGATGTTATGGCTACAGAGCTTAAGGCCCTTAAACAAAATAATGAACAATTACAAATTATATTGCTACAAAAAGATGACCAGATAAAACAATTAACAGACAAGAGTAAAGTCTTTTTCGAAATGACCATACCAAAAACAGAAGGCATGACAATTTCCTCAACAATTGAACAATTGAATTATCAGAGCGGTGTAGATTTAGCAGCACTTGAGTCGCAAATTGTACCCGAGTCCTTTGTTGCCGACGTAGAGCCATTACCCAAAAAAGTAGCTGAGAGTACTTTGGTACAATCTTCACATTCAGGTGGCTCGCGGTCACATAAAGAAGTGGAAGAGCCAATTATAGTAGCTAAAAAATCTTATGATTGTTACAAAAAAGATGACGTGACTTCGGAAGATCCATTCAGTTCCCAAGAAGGTTGGGGATTTGAAGGTGAAGAGACAGAAGATGCTTCAGCAGGTTATTCTTACTTAAATGAGCAAATCGAGAATCTTAGAAAGGAAAATGAGAGATTAAAAACCGAATTAGAAAATACTAATGTTAAGTTATCTAAAGTTCTTAAAATCTCAAAAGAACTAAAAGCAAAAAATGAATTGTTGTCAAACGAACTTAAAATATCTAAACAGCTATCAGATAAATCTATACTTGATACTGCAATCGAAAGTGAGCTTTCGAGTAACATAGAAAGTTTAGAAAAACAGTTACAAGATCTGAATACAGAATTCGAAAGAGAAAAACGTGAAAAAGAAGCATTAAGAAAGCAAAATGAAATATTCAAGGACGCTAATGATCGTTTAACGGAAATAAAAGAAAAATTAGATACTGAAATAGAATTGTGGAAATTCAAGTGCAACCAAGCGAATGAAAAAGTATCCTCACTACAATGGACTACAGAGTCAAAGGAATCACTTGCAGCCGAACTTCCTACGTCGCGGCAAAACCAACCTATTAGCGAAGAAATAATGAAACTTGAACAAGAAAATGAGGAACTGCAATCAGTCATTGACGAACTTAATGTTGTTAATAAGAAATTAACTGATCAGCGTGATGAATTTTCAAACGAAGTACAACGATTACAAGATAAAATCCAACAAAACCGTGTATGTGAAAATTGTGAAAGTCTCCAAAGACAAATATTAAGCAACGAGGATTCTGTCACATCTCTAAGAAATGATATTACTAATCTTAATAGTAAATTAAAAGAATTAGAAGAATCTAAGAAAAATACGTTAATTGAACATGAAGAATTATCTAAATTAAACAAAGAAAATGAAACGCAGTACGAAATAAAAATACAAGAGTTTCATACTAAAATAACTACTTTGGAGGAAGAAATTTCTTCAATTGCTTTATTAAAGGCTGAAGCTGATAAAACAATAAAATCTTTAGCATCCGAAATTGAAGGACTAAAATCGGAATTGTTGTTAAAAACAGAAGAAACTTCAAACATTAAAAATGCATCAGAAGCTTTTGCTATGTCTGAAAAGATGAGTTTTATGGAAGTTAAGTGTAACGAATTGAGCCATAATTTAGAAAATGTTAATAGAAAATTATCCCACTTAGAAAATGAAAAATTGGATCTAAAGCAAATAATAGAAGATTATGAAACACAAATAGAGGAGTTGAATTCCAAAATAAAACATCTTAATACTGAAAATGATCAATTACTGTCAACTGTTGCTGAGTTACGTTCATCTGTATCCAGCGCCGTCGATCAACGTGGATATGAAATAGCGGAATTATGGAAGCAGCATTTGGCGCAAAGGGAAACTGAATTCCAAAGGGTCGAACATGAACTTCGAACTCAGCTTAGTGCAGCCGAAGCAAAATATGAGCAATTACTCGATAATGTCCAATCGTCTACTCAAGATGAAACAAATACCCTTATTGCCATGGAACAACTTAATTCGTTACAAAGCAAGCTACAAGAAAAAAGTGAGCACTTAACTAGTCTGCAAAATAAGTATGCGGATGTAATTCATCAGTTGGAAATGCTGCGGTCAGAAACCGAAGATGAGAAATTGATTCTTGAAAACAAGATGCTCGTCCAACAAGAGGAATATGAAAAAACTATAAAGGAACTAATGCAAGTTAACGACACCAAATCCGTTGAATTGGAAAGCACAATTAAGATCCTAGAATCTGAAATATCTACAATCAAAAATTCCAATGATAATTTGAATCAACAGTTACTTGAGCTACAATCTACATTTGAAGCTAAAATCCAGGAGTTAGGGAGGGAATTGCAAATAAAAGAAAATGAAATTCATCAAAAAACCCATGACTACACCATTGCTCTATCACAGCGCAACGAAGAATTTGAGAATGTAAGGACTCATCTGATTGAATATGAAAAGAAAATTGAGGATTTGACTTACGAAAAAGAAGCAGAATTGGCCGTTATTCGGTTAAAAATGCATGAAACCAAAGAACAACATGAAAATATTCAAAAGCAGTTAGAAGACGAGAAAAATAGTCTATCGGAAGCTTTAAATGCAAAGATAATAGAATGTACTAACTTAAATAAACAGGTACATGATTTGAATGTGCTTTTACAAGAACATGCAACAAAATCCGTTGAGATGCAAGAGGCTTTAGAGAATCAGGAGCTAGAAATAATATCCCTAAAAGATGAAATATCTAACATGCAGGATATAATGCGATCGTCGAGTAGCAAAATTGAAAAGCACGTAACGTTTGCTTCGGAAACAAAACAAACTGAGGAGAGCGGTAAAACAACAAGACAGTATCACAAAGACCTGTTAGACGCCGTACCGCGGGCAGAATTGGATATAGCGTTGTACATGTTGCATCAAAGAGACGTCCGTTGTGAAGAATTAACTATGGAGCTGACGCAGTTGCTGGAAGAAAGAGACACTCTTCAGTTGCGACTTTCCGATAGCCTGCGAGCATTGGAGGACATTAGGGCAAAGTCTAAAGCGACAGAAAGCGTATCTACGAGCTTCGGTCAAGATTCCATTTCAGAGTTACCTACCCTTACTATTGAAAAGGAGCAACGGTTCGTAGACACACATCGTACACATACATCGCGAAGTAGTAGTATAAGTGATTACGACGGAGAGAAACCTAAACTGCAAGCGAAGTAAGTAAACGTGTCTAAATAAGGGTAAAGTTGTTGGTTGTTGGTTAATGTGGGTTGTGTTGTGCGCAGGTTGTCTGAGTTGCGCAGCGTCAAGCACAGCCGCGACGTGACGCTGCGCCAAGACAGTGAACAGCGACAACTTGGCATGCGGCTGCTGCGCCGCGACGTCGCCAACCTGCCGGCCGAGGCACTCGAGGAACTCTCACAAGCTCATCACACTCTATGTAAATATGTCACTTTCTCTGTCTTATGGCAACCATATCCACTACTCAATATCACATTCTTGCCTATCCTCTTTCATGCTAGCCTTTATTAGATAAACTTATTGTAATTACTGCTTTAGTCTCATTTTTATCTATTAATATGTTTTTAAAAATGTTTGTTTTGCTTCCAGCTCGGGACTCTCAGAGCACATCGACGGTGCTTTTGAACTGGCTGCGAGGGAAGAGCACTCCCAAAGTAGTGGACATGTGAGCCACAGAGCACCTCTCTTCTAAACAAAACATGTAGATTGTCTATACTTGTTACACATTATTTTATCACCACGTAACGGTTGGACTCATGTTTGGCAAACATTTGTCACCAATCGCACTTCACTTGCCATTCATAGTGCACCGAAAACGAATTTAGTTCACTTTTTTTGTATTTTTAATTTATTTATGTTTTTATTTACCCAATTACGTCATCACTTACGGTGATACAATGTTTTATTTGCATATGAACGGTTTTTTAAATCACTCGAATTGTCTTTTTTCAAAGGAAGTCATTTGCAAACGATATTTACTTTGAATTAGGAAATGGTCGCATTTAATTATTTTTAGAAATCCAACGATTAAATAATGGTTTGTTAGTGTGAATTAAATATTAGATTTAGCTGACTTTTAGAATTCGTGTTTGCCATTTTGTTTTTATTATATCTCGGTGCACACGAACGAACGATATAAATACGATATCATTCCTTTTATTTTCGAAAACATTTTTTTATTGAAATTTAATTGAATTTTTTAATCTTACTAAAATTATAAATGTGAAAGTTTGTATATTTAGGATGCTTTTAGAAGTTATCTCCCAAATGTAGAACGGATCTATGAAATTTGGCATAGATGTAGAGAATAGTCTTGAAGAACACAGGCTACTAAATAAGTTTTATTTAATCCCGCATAGACGGAGCCACGGGCGTCAGCTAGTAATCCATAATTAAAAGATGCATATACTAATGAAATTCTAAATTTAAATATTTAGGTTATCTGTTATCGTAACTTAAATTCCATTGCCGATACAATTCTCGAAAATGTCTCTGTTTTTTGCAAAGAAGAAGTAATGAACAAGCAATGTTCAAACAAGTTTCGGTATTGGAAACTCAATGACAGTACATTCAGTATTATTTACCCAGAACTCTATACCATTGCGTTCTCGCTTTACCTTTCAATGTATACTCTATTATTGTGCTTCATACTAATAATTTATTTTCATAGTTTGACATTTTTCTTAACCTCAAAATTGTAACGCTCTTGTATTTATGTACCTTTGTTCTGTAAATTGTTTTACGCACAAGGTCAGTTACAATGAACTAAAACAACCAAATTATTCCGCTTTTTAAAATGGCTTCCATTTAATGTGAAATACTAATTAATCCACATTATTCCAAAGCCTTTAATTATAAGGATATGTTAAAAATAACATGATTTTAAATCGTGCCTTTTTGCTGTTTAATGTATATTAATTTTGAAATAATTATTGCAATGTAATAAATGTATATAAAATGGGCACACATATGTGCGTCGGATGTTCCAAAATTGTAAATTTTGTTTTTTTTTTTTGTCAATAAACGTTAATCAATGAGATGTAGTATTATTTGATTAATTCATTCTTCAGAAACAGTGTTACATAGGTGTCATTGTTTCTTACTACTTCGTGTATTTGGATTTAACCCTTAAGCCTGATTTTTTAAAATCAAACTAAAAATACATAAGAGTACCCTTTACTGTGTTTACTAAAAGGAAAAATAGTTTTTTTTTTATATATTGGACAGTGTATTTAAAAATTATACTAATTTTAATAAAAATGCTACATTCTAAATTGTTACCGAGAGATCCATAACTTCATAGTTAGCAACATGTTCGTGATAGCCTCTGTTTTGTTTTCTAATCTGAAGATTATCAGTCAAAGGTAACATGTAAACAGCCTAATATTAAAATGATATCGATTGTAGGTGCCCAATGCGATTCATAACCTCGGTATCAAATTTAAAAGTTCACGTGACAGTGGTAGAGCCAGCTTTAATATCTTCGCACGAATGGGTCGGCTCGCCGGGTGCAATACCACGACCACACAGAAAACCCGCGTGAAGTGGGAGCAATTCCGCGTTTCGTCTGATGAGTGTGATGCCGGAGGCCAAATTCCAGTCCCTTTGCCTTTACACACTTTTATTAAGTAGGCAGGATGAGAAGGAAAAGTGGATTTGACGGCGGAGGAAACGCATAGAAAGGTGAAATGTCCTTTTTATGTGCGTCTCCTCCTCCGTCAATTAGGGTAGGCAACGCATCTGTAATTTCGGATGTTTATGGGCAGCGGTCGCTTCCCATTTCGTTGGATTCAGGTGGCCGCTTGCTCGTTTGCTGCCACCTTATATTATAAAAAAAGTATTTAAATTTTAGGGATGGGATAAAAAAACAATAATAAATTTTTGAGGTTTTTATTATTTTTTTAAATATCTACATCTCGTAACGATACAATACAAAGAGCAACTTAAACATAATAATCACATATAAAATCAAAGTAACGCAACTTCGCGATTTGTTTCTTTAGAATTTAGCTTCTTACATAACAGAGGGCGTTCGCGTCCCAAAAGAAAAAGATCACTTTGCAGAGAAATCTGCCGATATTTACATAAAATCAAAATCAAGTTTTTCTGTCGCATACATTAAACATTTATTCTAAATCATAACAATAATATCTAATATCCTAAACTATACCGAAGCCAGTCCAAAAGCCAAATAAGCAATAACATATGTAGTAACTCTTATAATGCGTATATTTTCCCACATAGGTTTACATAAAAAAATATTTATTAAATGTCTATTTAACTATGTCAATTTTGAATTTCCTAATATAGGTATAACCACAACCGTATTCCTTATAATTTACACGTTTAGATCATACGAAACTTCTGTTGTATATAGGTTATTGAAATATGGTTCTTTTACTATTTCTATTAAATCCTCTCTTTAAAAGTTTACGAAATACTTTTATCATATAATAACTTATGGCACCGAATGCTTAGAGCATAAGACATTATTTACATTTTATTCTATGTATTTACATAAATCATATGAACTTGGGTACTTCGGCAATCTTAGTGTCGATTTTTCCCAATTGTATATCAATGGAAGACATTTGATATAATTCTTAATTACAAACGGATATAAAGATCTTACTAACAATAAAATTAAATTTACTTTTTATCTAAATTAAATCTGCGTATCTTGCGATATGCTCTATAAACCAATATCACATAGTATATGAAACGGTATTGAATATATTGATATCTATAGTGTAGATTTCTTAAGTACAATTCAGTACAGTTTCGGAAAATATCTTGTAGGTCAGTCAAGACAAGAAACAATTCTTGGTTTCAGTCTGTTTAATATCTTTATAATTTGTCAATTTTATAGGTTATTTGCCAGTTAAAATATACGACTATTGTATATACAGTGGTTGTAAGCATAGGAACAAATAAACTGTTTACAACTAACTGTTAACCTAATATCTTAAACATGATGCAATCACATTACCTTCGCTTCCATTCTAAATAATAAATTCAAACGTAATAGGACCCCTAAGTTACATATTATGACTTGAAGTGACTACGATTCGAAATTAAATCAACTCTACATCTATCACAATAACTGTAAGCTAATAACTAGTTTAATTGAAGATAACCTGCAAAGGAACATTGGCAGTGTTGCCCGCAATCCATACAAAATATACAGCCCTTCGTCTAAATAACTCGACAACTATATTTATGTGCATACGTGAACGATGTCGCTTTATAACTGTTACTGGAATAAGTAGAAAATATAATATACATAGTTACTATATAAAAGTTGAACATAAGTTTTATTTTTACAAAATAAAAGCGTATTTTATTGCCTTCCCCCGATGTTAGTTGAAGTCGATCGACATATATGTAGTCAGATGGTATTATATTTATATTTTAATATATTTAATAGATAATTTACTTATTTACTCTGTTATATGCAACAAAACAGATATTTCTACTTATAGTACAAGAAATCAACTAAATATAGTTCATTAGTATGTTTCAACTTTCAATATGAACTGAAACTTAAATGCTTGTTCAATCGAACTGGGATTACCCATTAATTTTGAATAAACATAGTTTTCTGGAATTTAATTACATCGTTCTTTGTTCAACTCGATCAATTTCACCTTTGGTCCCATATAAACATCTGCCTTACACCTAAATTTATAATAACTATTCCTTTTATTGAATGTGCTTTCATCGAACAAAGTTGATGATCTTAAACATTAAGAGGTAGATTGTAATTTCAAAAAGCATGAAATGGAAAGTGTATGCGCAAGCGGTACCACATCCTGAGTTAGAACTGGCGAGAGCTCGGACACCTGGCCCGGTGCTGCGGCGAGACAACCCGACGCTGAAAGTTAACTGAAGTAGCACGCGGGGCTTAACCTATTAACCGAATAGGACTTACATTTAACACTCAAAAAGGTACCTATGTTAGACACATGTAATCGTCAGTCTTTATATCAGTCCTCGATCACGGATTCACCGTTGCAACTAAACGTTGTAGTTTAAAGTATTCTCGTACTTATACACATGGTAATTAAAGCGATAGTTTCCATGCACCGGCTGCGGGCGGCGGCAGTGGTGGGGATGCTTAGAGTGCACGTGGCGCACGCCAGGGGCGCTGCGGCGCTGCGGCGCATTGTGCGGGCCGAGGGCGCTAGAAGTGCACGTCACGCACGTCAGTGGGTGTGGCGGCGCTGGTGTGCGCCTTGGGCTGCGCGGGCGGCGGCGTCCAGCCCCCTGCCGCCGCGCGCGCCTGCCCGTTTGGGGCCGTCGCGACACGCTCCTCTATCATAACCTGCACCATCTCCTCTATCTGCTCGAGGCATGTCTGGAGGCAGTCCTGTGGAATAAAACTTTATTAATGATACAAAGCAAAGCTTACTAATAGACAAAAGTATTCGATGGCTTGGATTGCAACAATGCTATGGGTATAAGGGGATATTTTCACTCACCAAGTCAATGCCGGTGAGGTCTCGCAGGCGTGGCAGGTGACCGTCCATGCAGAGGCCGCGCAGCGCCGCCGCAATGCTGCAGCAGGCCAACGTGCTCGCCGAATACAGCGTGAACTCGTAATCTGTAACAAACACAGACATAGGTTACTAATGCTTAAAAACAAATACAAACGAGTTGGTATTAACGGAGCTTAGATAGATTTCTTTCCAGAGGGAGTACCGATAAAGTTGTGGAAGTCATCAGGATGTCAAGATTATCCATTTTCTCTGATACGTAGGTTTTATTTTATAATCCTTTTTTAATAAAAAGCAGTGTACATGCACTCACTAATGATGTGTGTCAAAGCTATAATTGCACAATAATGTTGTGGTTAGAACGCAAGCAATGCAATGTGCCGAGGCGAGGTACCAACGTGCGCTACGATTTAAATAACAAACGAGCGTTTTGCCGAGCGATATCAGTTCGAAACCGGGTCATGCTTGTGTACATAGGTTAGCTAGTTTTGTAGCTGCGGCCGTAAAATTGATGTGTACTTATCACATTATTGCATTAAAATGTTCCATTGTTAAGTTATATTATAGCTTACGGCAATATTACGTATACACGATTCGACAAATTAAGTTTTCAAATAAGTTTTGTAGCTGACAAAGGATTGCTTACATGTATTTAAAGTTATTGTAAATTTGTTAAATAAAACTACAAAAATTAAAAAACAAAACAAATAAGGAAATACGACGTTTTTGTTCTAAAAATAGTTGGCATCTACATATTTGCCGTAAGGGAATTCCGTTATAGCCGCAGACAGTTTAATGTGAGGCGCGGTGCACACGATGGCAGAGCCCAGAGCGCAGAGCGCAGTGCGCGGTGCCCGCTGCAATATCCGGCAAGTCTCAAGCTCACAAGTCCTTTCTCCGCAGCGGAGGTTGTCGCTCGTCTGGAGAGCGCGCCTCAAAGGAACCGGCATCCGCCCGGGCCCCTCCGAGCCCCGCCGCCACTCTCCCGGTACATTTCTCACGGGCTCGCTTCGCCAAAACCATTATACATACGCACATACTCATAAAAACGGCCCCGACGTCAACCAATTTGGGGCTGGACGTCTCAAGTTGCACGTTAAGATAATTGGCAACGAAATAAAATGAAACGAGAACATTGTAACACCTAAAATCGATTCGATTCGACCTCGTGTCACCTTCTAACGAAACTTTGGTACTTCCATTCGATATAAACATGTACCATTTTTAAAATTAATTCAAGGAATGTACTAAAGAAAATAACTAATTATTTAATACAAGAAGTCTATCAACCCTCTAAAAGCGTTTTATAATGCTGTAATAAGTACTGCGTAAATCTATCATTTCCAAAATATGTCCAAATGATTAAAATTGTGCAAACTACGTTCTATTTCATTAATATCGTTTATTCGTTACAGTTGCTAAAAATTAAAATGACAAAAAAACTATAAAGCCGCTATCAGCGCATGCGAAGGTATTTAAAACGAGAACTCCGATTATGGATTACTTGTTTAAAATGAATACATGTAAAAACAATGCTTAATTAAATGTAACATAAAAATCGCATGTATTTACTTGTGGTAATTAAGGAGCCTGTATTCCGACACGCGGTTATCGGCGGCGCAGCGGCGCGGCGCGGCGCGGCGGTCGACGCCCGGCGCATACATACGTGTTCCCAAACGATAAAGCAGCAGGAAAATCAGCTGTTTGACCTTGCGACGCTCAAGCTACTGATCCGAAGTACGTATCTCACTAATAAATGTATTTATAATACTAGTAATTATATCACAAACCTTAATTTATACTTTTCTCACGCGGCTACACTCATCTATTGAATACCTACCGAAAAAATGCGAGCCCTGACAAAACAAACGAAGCTTTCCTTAAGTCCTCCTTATTCATCATGAAGTAGGCGTATTGTGCCGGCCAGCGCATGAATATCGAACACTCTTTCAGCTTCATTTAAAGGGTTCCTTTCCATGTTTTTTGTTCGATTTGCATGTCGGCATTCCCGAGATAAAGGGCCGGCGGAGGGAACGTATAAAAAGACAGAGATGAAACGAAGAGCGCGGCTCACTCGAAGCATTTGCATAATCTGATGTTAATCAAACGTCGTGGCCGACCGCCGTTCTTTAAGTCCAACTCTGCTTCGCGTCGATTTCCCGCTAGCTGCGAGCACTACTTCTTGCCCGCGTAGTACTTGAGCGAGGACAGTGGGCGCTTAGGACACACGCACAACGGATGCGCTCGTTCATCGCCTTCCTTATAGAGATCTGTCACCGGAACTTACAAAGCTCTAGACTCTAGAGGAAGTGACCATTGAGCATACGGTCTACGGGCAGTAAGTAATTGATGGATATCACGTCTCTTTCGAATTATAAGTTAGATTGTTGTCGCGTCGTTTAGTTAATTAGTGCAGGGCGAGCGCGGCGGTGACACAATCGTCGTATTATTATCCTTGAACGTGGAACAGGAGTAGGTAGGTAGGGGCTACGGGAGGCGGCGCGCGAGGTGAACGCTCCCGCGAGGCCGCGCCGGTAGTTACGCCATGGGGCCGCGTGTCAAAGCGCCGACCGGAACTAGCCGGTACCGAGAAGTCCGCTACCGATGAGTCCGTACATGGAAAAACTGCGATAAGATAAACCCCTACGTAATCATCGACACCGCTACACCGTCGCGCGATAAGCTTTACGGGAACCTAGTTCCCCTCGATCCAGACTTGGTGAAATCCCCGCTGGTTAACGTGCCGTTCTTTTGTTAGGTAAATCTAATAATTTATCTCGATCCGCTGCGGCACGAATTGTCAGTTTTCAAATAACCCATTACAAATTTAATATCCCCGCGAATTATGAATCCACAGAGCGAATTGTGGCATTCGAGTAATGATACATAATGCGGGCCGGGTCGATGCGGCGGCGGGCGGCGGGCGGCGGGCGGCGGGCGAAGGGCGGCGGGGCGCGGCGGGCAGGGTCCGGTCGTAACGCGCCGCCCTGTTGTGTTGCCAACATAATCGGTGCCTATTACCGCGGCACATCATAAATCTGAATAAGAATGATCATAGTTCACTGTAACATTACGAGCTTATATATTTTGCTGCTAACATTATCTTTATGTTATCGCTTATCGAAGTTACTTAGAATGATAAATCGGCAACTATATGACCTACAAATACAAAACTCGTTCTTTTTAAATGCTTTACTTCATTTAATATCTGTGAGAAAATATGTAATATCTTAGGCGTGCACTCTGAAAGTGGAAAATCAATAAAAAAACAACAAAAACACTCTATCAGTCACACATTGTTGCGGTCGCGAAGCTGTAGGCAGGACTCGCAACTCAGTCGCTTAACACTGGATAACTAGGACCATCTAGTTATGAGCACAGACGTATATTAACCCCTTTTGGACTAATTGAACTTGATATCTGAGTAGGTAGTGAGGTGAAAGAGCTGAAGCGTGAATTATAAGTTAAAAAAACAACAACTCGAGAAGCGGCGGACAACAAAAACCGTTGCACAAAAACATATGATCCCAGGAGATTGTGGGGACTGCGGAGGCTGTGGGGATTGGGAAGGGAGGGAGTGAGGGGGATGTGGGGCGCAGGGGGGAGTCCCGAGGCGTGCTGGAATGCGAGCGAGCGAGCGGCGTGGGAGGCGCCGCCGGGACACACACGCCGCCTTTTACTCGGGCATTCTCTACCCTTGTAAACAAACCTATTCGATTCCTCGACTTTCCAAACCTAATATAAACAATTCCACGTGTGTTCCAGCGCCGAATGTCAACCAAACTTGTGACGAGACACCTTTGTATGGAGTACACACGTATAGTACACGTAGAGTACATTGTACAGGTAGAGACCGCTGTTTGCTGACATAAAGTTAGCTATGACTTGTACTCGTATTTAATAACAAAATGCATAATTATCGAGGTTACTAAATGGATATGTATTGACACATAAATTGTTATGAATTCCTGACAAACCGAACACTATCTGGTAAACCTTACCTATACCAGTCTCTAAGGTGAGCTAACCAACCATTAAATTAAGAAGAATATCAACGTCTATTTCGAAAAACTATTTAAGTTTAATGAATAGTACGAATTCGCTAATTGTATGTAGAAATGCTTTGTGATATACGATACAGGTATTATAAAGTACATAAGAGTTGCATAAACCGAAGTCATGTACAAAGGCGTAGGCGTGAAACTTAAAAGGCAGAAAGTGACATCATCGGAACATCGACGGCATGAATCAGGCGATAACTAGAGCGTTCCCATAGCGAGGGCTCGTGGGATACGCGAGGTTACTGACACATGACACGCACATGACAGGGGGGGGGTGACACCGTCGTGACCTGCTATCCCGCGCTAATTACTGCCCCACACCGCAAAGTTAAAACCAACATGAATCCCTGTTGATCTTAGTATGTAGGATCACGAAGCGATGAACGCCCGAGCAAGTCAACATCCGGGCAAAAATTAACAAGTAAACAACATTTATATGTTCATTTGCAAATAATTGACACCGTAACTTGGTATTCTAAACAAATAAATGCAATATGACTGCAAGTTTTATCCCTATTTATATTAACCTATTCAACTAGCATCCTGATTATTTTTATAATTAACATGCAAATGAAGAAGGAAATAGATAATACATTGATTGGCTATTAACTGGTTGTTTTCAAGAACCGTTTTAAATTATTAATTAACAAAGTATCTGACGACTGTTAATAGAGCGGTGCCACAATTATCGTGTCTGATATTTTATAGTGCTCACACATGAAAGTGCTTATAGGTTACTTGGTCTTAGCAGAAAATTGTCTGAGAAGTTCAAAAAACTTCCTTCCTTTCATTGTTCTCGCCTAACAAAAAAATTACTAGTGAACCTACATACGGGACATCAGCAAAAGCAATAATTTTAGCCATCGTGTAAGTTTTGTATCCTTCTTGTAACTATAGTAGGTGACTTACCTCTAGCAGCTAGAGCTATGAAGGTCTGTGCGTGACGCTGCACCATGTCGGTGTTGACGAGGGCGGGCAGGGGCAGGCGCGCCAGCAGTAGAGGCAGAAAATCATGCGCCGTCACTCCCGCCACGTCCCACTTCAGCTTTGACAACACCAGCAGCTCCCAGCTCTGTACAAAAAATATCATAAATCAGACACAAATATAGATATATGTACGTAAAGCCTCGACGTACGTCTAAACCCTGAATGTTTATGAATCCATCTCTAAATCCGCAATTTCTAGCTATTACTTCGCTACGCTCATGTAAGCAAAGTCGTCAAGACGATGACTATTACGGTACAAAATAAATCAATAATTTATTACACATTTTAAGTAGATATGGTTGCGGCGAAAACTTTGGTGAGTCGCGAGCAAAAGTTAGTACTTTATTATTGTAAAATTAATAAAGTTCAAAGATTTCAATACCACATCAAAATGTATCAACTAGCTGTAAAGTAACATTGAAACAACCCTCATGTGTTCGTTCACTTTTATGCCACCACATTCCAATTGGAACTCGGCGCTTCATCTTTTATTCGTATTTTTAATTACCGTTTAAAATAAACTTAGTTCTTGGATGTTACTTATCAATTGACGATCGATACACAAAGTTTGACTACAATATTAATGTGTTAGAAACGTCATAAGGTATTAAATTCTGAATTTGTAATCTTGCTTCACTTATCGGTTCTGTTATCTCGTGGCCAGTTCACAAAAGAAGTCGTCTAATCGGTAGTACAAAATGCCATTCCTACGTCTACAATCTACATCCGTTGTATAATCATAAACAAGCCGAGTTCAACCCGACTTCCCGGAACGGTGTCTCTCGCATTGTTACTCAACACACAAACCAACATATTGTTTTTATATTCTAACATTGGCTGATTGTTTAAAATAGCTCGAATAGTCATAACATCGCACCTGTGACTTCCGACATCCTGTTATAAAACTTGCAATTTTTAATAAACACTAATATAAAAAAGCTTGAACACACTACTTTGTGGCGTAGGATGCAGTAATCACAGCATATTTTTGAATACCTTACTTTGATAAAAAAAAACCCTACATTTATGACACGCTTTAGGCTATATTCTTTAACGCTATTAAACTTAAGGGGTAAATAAATTGGAAAAAAGCCTTCAAGTTGGAAAGGGACCATAAACTACAAGATATCAACATTAAGGAAGCGAGGTTATTATGGCAACGGTAATTTTGGCATTTGCAAAGAATTTTACAAATGTAAACAATAAAATAAAGTTTTTATAATTTCAGGCGGATGAAGCCGCACGGGAACAACTATATGAAATATAACCTATAATGTTTGTATCATAAATATAGCATAAGTCTAAAAGGGCAACAATGAATTGTTGATTCATATTGTTACGTAAGTTGTAGGAAGCAGTTAGGTCCGTGTTACATCACTGCTCTGTAGGTTGAACCCATTTATCACTAAAAATGCAATTCCATCCAATTAAGTTAAGTAAGGGCAAATTAGAAAGATACGTCCTTTTTAACCGCTTGGCCCTAAAATTATTGTGACATGTATGTTTATATTATTCACTATTTTCATTTTAATTGCAAGAACTACATATTTTTATACCAATGGATGTTTATTATCTTAATTTAGTAGGAAAAAACCGTGTTTTTTCGTCCATTTGCAAATATTACTTCTAAAATTCTTTGATAGTATTTTTTTCTTATCTCTCTAGGTACAGCTGACCTAGATTATATTAATTAAAGCGGTAATGCCAACTTCCATACAAAGCTCGCTGTATGAATGGTTGATTTTATGAATAAGTCGATTATTTCGTGTACACACGCACGCACACACGCACACGAGTGATGCATGGCCGTTGACAGATAATACTCGATGTTTACTTAACTCAGGCGGCGGGGTCGCGCCTCGCGCCGCTCCTCGCCCGCGCCACCGATCCATTTCGTTTCTCATACCGATAAGGGTAGAGTTTAAACTCGTTCGACACGGTTTAGTGCTTAGGTCCTATCGCTTCTTGATAAGCCGCGCTTGTGAATGAATGAAGTCTCATCGCTGGAAGTCGCACGGATCGTGCGCCAGTGCTCGACATAGCACTCGATAGAAGGTGCGTCGATATGTAGCGATAACGTCGCGGTTGAAGTTTTAGACGGCGTTTATGATATAAAGTTGCAGGGAAAAAAGTTTAAGCGAAAACGGTTAACGACGGTGCGGTATGCGGGTCGACCGCGAACTGAAAAGGTTTTTTCTCCGTCGCTGCTATCGCAACGAAAGTAGTTTAAAAACAATGCACGCATAAAGCATTCACCGCAGATGCCGCTGCACGCGACGCCGCCGGATATGCACACACCTTAGGATTACATTTACGCTTATCTACGCCGCGACGGAGGTTATAATACTACATAATGCATGCTTGTAGTTTTGGTACGCTCTAGTACACTCGCAACAATGAAGACGTTTCACATTCATACCCTAATGATACTGGATTGTTGGAACAACTATCACACGTGAATTAATTATGGATGGACTTGTTTCAAATCTGTGTTATAACTCCAAAGTTGTCTAACGTTAAAAATGAATCGAATACGGTCCGGGGAAAGGTTGGGCTTGTGGAATGCGGCTCGTAAATATCCTACGTAGTGGTTATTAGAGAAGCGAGACGCGAGCGCGAGTGAGGGCGCGGGCGAGCAGTTATCGTCCGCGTTACAGCTAATAAAGTGAACTATGCGAACAGCCCTCGCGCACCACACGCGCC